GAAAGAGTATATTGTCAGCTATTAATACAGACCGACTTTTAATACTAGACACCGACTTTTCAGGAATATTGTAGTAAATGACTTCACAATAGACCAAACGGCAAAGTCACAATAGACCAAACGGCAGAGTGTCAGATTCGTTTCATGCACGAATTGACAGAGTTAAAGAATGTTTTAAGATTGGCTGAGGTTGCAACTGAAAATAATAGAAGCCGCATTATTCGTTTTGATATTACCTATGTGTTTTTGGCATCCTTTTGTATAAATTGGTTGATTTATACATAAAATATAACTTTTAAAAGCCACTGCAATTTTCAAAGTTTTGCTTCCTTTGTTTCTTTAAATGTTTGTGCAATTTATTTGCCTATGACATAAATAAAAATTGCTTGTATGGAGAGAGGAGATAAGTTTTGGCTGACTGCCCAATGTTTTACTTGTGACTACATTTACAGTTATATTATTTAAGATTACATGAATTTGAATTTATTTTTTAAGTATTCATAGGTTGTGAAAAAGATTTAGGAGTCAACTAAGACGTCTAAAAAAAGTAATCTTTTTATATTTTAATTTTGATAATGAAATAGAAAATGAAATTGTTTTTAAATGTGTATTTTGATGTTATATACCAGGTGTAACAGCAAACTTGTCCAATTGTTAGATTAATCTTTGAACCGTTGTATCTTAAAAACGATTAAAGTTATCTTACTGGAATTCTCTGATGTTTTATAACCTTATTGGACTCTACATTGAACAGTAAGAATGTATTTAGCTCTAAGTTGAAATGATTGTAGCGGACGGGGGGGTTACGTGTTGTTAAATTAGGAACACGTGAGTTTATTCCTGCTAGAAGAAGGTCTACTACAAGAACATGGCGGACTCAGAGATTGAATCCACCATAAAGAAGTGTAAAGAAAACCAACAAGACCGATAATATATATATATATATATATATATATATATATATATATATATATATATATATATATATCAACAAATATATGTATTAAACAACACAATTTTACAATGGACATAGACATTAACATTTGTGTTTGTGTGTGAACGTAAAGAGTTTGTGTTTTGGTGAATGTTCGTACGTACGTGTATGTGTGTATAATGTTCATGGCGTCTCCCACAAGTGGGAAGACGCAATCTTCTGTGAGAGCTTACATTGTAGATCTGTTCGCTGAAAATGAAGAAATGAAAAAGAGAACGAGGCAAGAAGTCGCCCAGTATTTATAGTGTAGGAGAGCGTCCTCTAGTGAACAATTTGGACAATTAAGGAGGAGTTAACTCCGACATGATGACCCCCCTCTTGATGTTGTGACCTTCTGATCCAATTTTCCTTTCTACTGTTCTTTATAATGATGATAAATATATATGATAAAAATATGTTATATTTATGGGTAAAAGTGCTCAATATCTGAGATAGTAAATTTTGTGATGTCAACGAACACTCATTGACACTTTTATAATGTCAACAAATACTCGTTGTCACTTTCGTAATGCTCGTTGTAGTAGAGACTTTGTAATCACAGATACAACTCTAGTACGCTGTTGAACAATACTGATGTCAGGCGCCTTCGAATATCACTCGCACTAATAGTACTTGCTCGATAATACTCGCTTGAATAGTAATCCATATAGTGAAATAGTATAAAGAGAATAGAGAATAGCGGTCCATATAGTAATAGAGGATAGACTAGGAATAACGATCATTAGTCGTCACAATACTTTCTACTTATACGTTTCCTCTATGGTCACGTGACCCACTTAATTCCATAACGGGATCGCCTGTGTTTACGCACTGGCGATCTAGGTTCAAGCTCAAATGTCGGCAGCGACATTTTATTCCTATATAACAGTAAATATAAAAGTGAACACTGAGGTGAATACAAAGTGGCGACAGTCTGTTTCATACTTCAGTGCAATCTTCAGGCAGAAGATTGTATTGAAGTATGAAACAGAATGTCAGCACTTGATCTTGACTTCAATGTCCTTATATATATATATATATATATATATATATATATATATATAATTTTATAATAAAAATTAAATGTAAAATTATATAAAAATAATTAAAGGGTGAATTAAAAAAATAATGATGCAATACCCTACACACTAGTCACCAATCTGCAACTGGGTAGCATGCCACTAGCGTTTATTGCTGGTGGCCTGCTCTCTGACTGTCGGAGTGTTCGTCTCGTTAATGTTACCACTGGCAGACCGCTAGAGGCCCACCTGTTGCTGCCTCCTTGCGTGTAGAGTAGATGCTTGGGATGATACCGATTAAAAAAAAGATTAGGTTTGTTTATTGATCTTTCTTTTGAAAAGAGTGTTTAAAGAATAATTAAAAAGACAGCAAGACAGTTAATAAAAATATTGGCATTCAATGGTGAAAGTCATTAGGAGTGCAAAAGGCCAAAATGTTTTCGCATTTGACGACTACTATGATGATACGAAAAGGAAAACGAACAAAGAAATACTAAAAGCCTACCACGTCACTGCAGACAACAAACAAGAAGTTGAAGGATAAGGAAACTGAAAGAAGATTCATGAAATTAGAGGTATTAACACTGATTTTGAAATTTTATAAGAAACAAGATTTATCTCAATATTAAATTTCAGTTTAAAACCGAACTCTTGTGAAGTTACCATCCTTCTTAAAGATTTTCGACTGTTGAATGTATGAAAGTGAATATTTTTTTGAAAAAAAAAAAAAAAAAAATGTAATTGCTTTTTACCTTTTATGAGCCTAACATATTATAATTTTAGAGTTTACTAGCAGCATGGCCCGGCGTTGCCCGCGCTTGATTCAAAAATCGTACGACTCATACAGCAATCGCTATCACTTGACTTAAAATATTTTTGCCCTTCCTTGCCTTTAAAGGAGTGCCCTTTGCCGTGCTGTTGTGGCTACATGCCTTACTTCTCGCCTATCTCACACTGCGAATTTTTTCTAAGCTCTATACTAAACATTAAATCTATTACGAAAAAAGAACTAAACAAAATGATCAGCTTTAAAAAAGGACTCGTAACTGGAAAAACCGAATGAAAAAAGAATGTTAACAACAAATACTTTTTCACAATCAACCCAGTTCTGCGGAATCAGAATCAACGTTGAGTTTAAGCAAGCGAATGAGTCAATTGGAGTAAAGTGCCATGCAGATTTAAATTTTTCCCACTTGTGACGAATGCAGCTATCGATATTTTTTGCATGCTAGTTAACATTCGTGTCAGTCAGCTGTTGTCTCTCACGCTGGCCAATAGAATCTTCCTGCCTATTCGTGGCAGCCAGCTATTGGCTCTCACTCTGGTCAGTACAAAATGGCCGCAAACTACATGAAAACTGTCGTAGAAGCATGAAAAAATCGATTATTTCCACTATCGATCGGAGTTGGAAATGCAAAGTCGGTCTTGGCCTTCCCGCTAACTTGGAGTATGTGCATGTAAATTTTGGTGCAAATCCGTCGAAAATTTCGGCCGTGCATTTGTTACACACACACACACACACACACACACACACACACACACACACACATCCTGCCTTTTATAGATAGAGATTACCGTGCCTAATTGTAAGGTTTTGTGCGAGTTTGTATTGAAAATTCGTTTTCTGTTTTATTGCGTTCGGTTCTATTTAATAAATGCAAATTTCTTTCCAATTTCACAATGGTGTAAAAGTCTTATTTGATTCTGTTTGAGCCTTTTTAGTGTAAGAGACACGACGCTTTCTCTTCTCTTCCTCTCCCAAACCTTTTAATATATAATCTCCGACCGATATCAAATCGGTTGGGTTTCGGCCCCGGCTTGAAGCGATCGGATGTCTAGCTACACTGAGGAGCTGTGATATAGCGAAACAGTATGTCTGTAGATGACGGTATATATATATATATATATATATAATATGGTCATTGTTAAAGAACAATAGCATAGAGAAAATATTAAAATTAAATGAACTTTATGTGATAAAATTCTTAATGACACTTATGAATTTCGCACCGAAAAAGTTTGTTTAAAGATAAAACATATAAGTTCAAATAAAATAAACATTATACTTACTTTAGTATCTTAAATAATAAAAGTAATTTAATCCAAAGTTAAAAATTTTAAATTTCTTTAGAAAAAAAAAATTCTTAATCCAATTCCAGCAATGAACTTACACGTATTAACTGTTCGCCTAGTCACTGAAGATCTAAACACGGTGTAGAGGCCTAGGTTATGGATCGCCTTGACTTTCACCCATTCGTGGTTCACAAGTTCATCCCCCTTTCTCTCTATCTAATTTTGTCTAGGTATAATTATATTACGCCATTTCATATCTATCTGTCTCTGTAGCAGTCTATTTAAATCTTTGTTTCTAAATATCTTCGTCTGCTTATACAAACCTATTTCTGAATTATCTTGCGTCTGTTTATTCATATTTATCAAATAAAGTCTAATAAAAAAAAGTTAAAGAAATACTGATCACAAATTAATAATAAAATGTATATATGCGAAAACATATGTGAAATTATCTTGCATATGATTTTATTTACCTGATCACTAAGGCAAGATGTGACACAAAGTCTTTTTTATGTGGGGAGCTCGTATGCGTACATGTAAGCCAGAGACAAAAATGTTGCAGTTCCGCGACCATTGTCACATTACTAACCCCACATTTCTTAGTCCAATGAGGAAGTTGCTGCCACAGAGTTTGAATCCCCGAGATCAGGCGCCTTTTCCCATAAAAAAATGAGACGAACAGATACCACGCTATGATCCCAACCAAAAGGCCACTGAAATTCTGTAATGAAAAGAAATATTCAATCCGTGTCGTCTTAAGAAAACGTTTGGACCTGAAGATGTGTCGAAAATTTCTTCTTTACCGGTCCTTTCAACTAGGATAAAAGTATAGTATCTGTTCACTTTATCACTCCAGGAAGTACCTGATTCCTTTTGTCATGCTTTAACTTTACAAGTCATATTAGACCAAAAATGTAGTATTGCTGTCATAGGGCTTACGGCCATATCACGTTGAAACACTGGTTCACGTACGATCACCGAAGTTAAGCAATGTCGAGTCTGGACAGTAGCGAAAATGAGTAACGACTTGGGAATACCTGGTGCTGTAAGCTTGGATGTGCGGGTGGTGTAATAATGGATAACGGATCGGAATTGGAAATCGGAGAATCTAGTTCCAATTTCAACCGAGTTTGTTATATTCACTTATGCGCAAATACCCTTGAGAAAGGCATGAATCCATCTATCCTTTCTCCGGGTATGGGTTAATTAGTCGAATTTGTATCAGTATATCTTTATTATCTCAAAAAAAAATATTACAATCTAAAAATATTTCCTGGCTTTAAATAACTTACAAAGGGTTGATAAGTCGTAAAAATCCAATCAATCGATCAATCAATGATTATTGCTGAGATATCTGAGCTGGAGTTGCTCAATCCTAGCTTTTCAACCATAATAGAGTTAAAATTCGTTTACGCGGTTTTGGGTGGGAGGAAGACTTATTCTCCACTCTGCACCCCCTTTCCGACAGATACAATGTTGCAAGCCTATCATAATTTCTACGGTAAATGTTTAGATGATGTCCGTTCTTTAGTTCCACCAGATCAGACCTGGGACGCACCATGCTATTTCTACAAAGTTAAAGCGCTCTAATTTTTTCCATATTCCAGTAAGGAAGAGGTTTCCTTCAAGTAGCTTCTGCGTCCCAAAGAACTGATATTCTAAACTCCTGTATGAATACTTCCCTGAACGCTACAAACTTAACCTCTTCAACTCAAGAGTCGTTCATTATTTATTCTTCTAATCTTCATTTCCCGCCACCTCCTGTTTCGTTCCTATCGCACTCATCATTCATCATTAACATTTTAACAGCAACCGTCTACCTTCAGTGTGTGGCGGACTTCACCACATTAATTTAACTTTAGATGAGGAAACAAAACTGACGTGGAAAAGGATAAGCAAAAGACATCATTACACATAAAATATGTACTTAACAAGATGTACAACGATGTGAAAGAAAGCATGCATTTAAGTAAGAAAAGGTCGAATAAAACAAGAGTTGAATAAAACAAGAGTTGTCTCTCTTTACTATTATTTTTGTATTTCAAAGTTCACTAAAAGAAAGTTTGTGAGAGTTTCTTGCAATAATTGTTCTCAAAAAATTTGCTGTGTAAAGAAAGATTGTGTGAGTGTATAAGGAATGTTCAGCATGTGAGTGGTGGTGTGAGTGAGAAGGTTGGAAAAGTTCGTAAAAGTTCGTACGTACGTGAATGCGTGAAATATTATTTAACGTCTGACCGACCATGGTCGAGACGAGAATTCTCTGGGAGTACATCTTGCAGCAAGAAGAGAAAGAAGAGAAACAAGAGGAAGGCTTGTGTTTGCTATTTATAGATAATATAATCACGTGATAGGATCAAGATCTCTGACGAGAAGAATTATTCTTCACGCGCAGACGGTCTGATTGGTTGGCGCTGACTAATCAGCGAGACTTAAGAAAGCTTCTGGTATCCGTTTCTCCCAAAAGTGCACAAAATTGACTACATGAAAATAGAGCGATTACAAAATTGTCGCATTGCTGCGATTTGTAAATTGTCTATAATAACGTAGTGGTGATTTATTAACCAACGAATGCTTGTCGTTGTATGTGATTTGTATTAGTGTATGCATGTGTGTGTGTGTGTGTGCGATGTAGATCGGCACAAGGAGGTCTGAAGCTTTGCATTGGGTGAATTTTAATATTTAAAATAATTGTTATTTTTATTGCACATTTCCAATTTGTTCTGCATTGTTTCACAAGGATAAACACATGCACACAAACAATGGAAACGATGATAGTAATCTTAATAATAATAATTCTTGAAATATGTGTCTGAAAGATGACTAATGAAAAAGTTTTAATGCTTGATTTATTTATGCACACCCGCCATTATTAAATTAGGTTAAAATGTTCTGGATATCATCTGAAAATTGAATATGAATTCTATCGCAGGAGATTAAACAACCAATATTTATTTTGTAAAAATTAACAAAATGTGGTACAAAAGCCCATGACGAGATTGGGGAAGACGTTGGACTGGTATTAACTGCTATATTCTTAGCTAGATCCTTTCGTGACTTTGTAGAGGAGTTATAACTCTTAGTAGATAATTATAAAGCCCCTAACATTTATATATACAAAAATACTCATAAAATTGAAAAACAGCAAGACGCGGAAACAATAAAATGAGTATTATTTATTATCTGGTTATGTGGCGTTGGAGAAACGAGAGAAAGTAATACTGAGTTCAATTGTGTGTTTAGTGTCAAACGTAGATCAAATATGGAGCAAAATCCGACAGAAGGATAAGATAGAAAATAAGTAAAATATATATAGTTTTTCTTGTATGTTTTTTTTTTTTTTTTTTTTTTATAGATGTGAGGAATGAGTGTCCAAATAATTTAGTTGAAAAAATACAAGAAGTGTATGAGGTTTTTATTACCTCGAAGTTTTGTTGAGTGTTCTAAAAGATAAATGTTACTATTATGGCCTGAAAAAGGAAGTGGAGATGAAATTTTTGTTGATGTACGCTTTGATGACTTATCCGTGTGAACTGCTTGTCCAATAGTGAGTATGTCACACGTTTGTGTATACAGAGGAGAAAAGTGGAATCGATTCTCATTGGTTTAGAATGAGTGAATTAATGAAAATTAAAATTGTTATAATCATATTATTATAATTATTTTTGACACTATAATTAATTTTTAATTTTATTTTTATGGACATGACACCGTGACAGTATAATTAATTTTTTATTTATGTTGTCGGAGTTACCTCCTCCTTTCGCTCCTTAAACTAAGAGGAACATGTCATCTCGACCTTGACCTCTCGTTTGTGCCCCCTATACGCTGTAAACCTGTGGTAGAGACTAGCAAGTTCCATTTTTAGTTAAGTTATATTACAAACCTAGTTGTAATATACCGCTAGACATTTTTAGGCCATATTTCCCTTTAGCTAACCTCGACGTATTTTATTATAGACACTTTACTGTTAGCTTATCCAATTTACTTGCTGGTCTCCCTTGTCACAAGACAGTGACTTCTCGCTAGATTCGAGTGGGGTCGGGGACTGAAACGGTCGGATACGCAGGGACGTCGATCAACGGGCTGTGTATTAAGTTACGCTCCCATTTTTTTTTGTCTGACAACTTGACGATAGTTGGAAACTTTCCTTCTCTCTCTCCTTCGCCTACTACTCCTGGCTCCTTGGTCCTGTTCAACTCTCGGCATTCCGTCCCTACTGGCTGCCTGCACGTCGTCCTTAACCTTTCCCGTACACTATGTTAGTAATTAATACGGGAGGTTACTGATATCGGACTCGACCGGCAAACACGCAACGCCTGCTCTGGACCTGTGACATGCCCGAACAATGCCAGCTCTTCTTTCCTTCCCAACACGTCAAGATGGCATCCCGGCAACGACCAACAACCAACAGCGATCATCCTGCCAACAACCAACATCAACTTCAACAACCAACAGCGATCATCCTGGCAACTACCAACACCAACCTCGACCATTAATGCCTGCACTAGAATTTCTGCGTCTCTACCGTCCGACCACTTTTATTTCTTTTTCTAGAATAAATTAGCATATATCATATATATCCTCGTTCTGTCGTCTATATTGTTTCACCTTCAGATTTAACGTCTTCAAAAATGTTAGCGGGCCTCTTGTGACCCCATTCACCCTTGTGTGACACCACGGGGCCGCTCGGGGGTACCGCTACAATGTATTGCTTTATGGACACGACGACCTACAGCATTGTTCCTGACATCCCTCTCACCAACAAAAAAATCACACTCACATTCTTTCTTAGTCTCCATAATGCCACATTCGCATATGAACTTATTTATGACACTGTACACGACTTGAATGATTTATATACAACAGAATGATGACGAGAAAAAGAAACCCACAAAATAAAATAAAGTCCTTTCCTCCGACAGAAATCATATTATTTTCTGAAGGACGAGGTGGTATATTTTTAGGCACCTGTCTGTTTCATGTTTTTTATTAAGAACAGACAGATAAAAGATTGAGTAAAACAAATAGCATGGAGGGGGTAATAAAATGGTTTTCAGTACAAAATAATATGTCTAAGAAAGCGGGTGTGGACAAGTTAAAATGGGGTGAGTGGTTGCGAATACCTAAAAAAAAAAAAAAAACTGATGTCGGATGCTGCATTCTATTTAGTCTTAACTTGGATTGGGTTCCGAAGGGAACTTCATTCCCTTGCGCCATGTAGCTCGGAGTACAAAAATTCTAACTTGATTCTGTTGGTGCATACCAATCTCACTACCTTTATCCATCTTTTGCCGAAATACACGTGATTTAATCCATTTTTATCTCTATCACATCTTATTTTCACATTAAAAAACTGGTGTTTAATGTAGGAAATCAAATCATCATGATAAAAAGATTCGTTCTCGTAGATGCCTTTCAAACGTGTGTTTCATGCACCCAGAGCCTGTACAAGGGTCTCGTGGGACGCCACCGAATCTATGATAGCGCCCCCGCGCAATGTATGATACGGGGCTTCCCACTCTATTACATTTCAATTTTTATAAGGTAGTATTCATATAAAATATAAATTTTATTGTAACCTAATTATGCACAATAATGGACGATATAAATGAACATTTCAACTAGAACAATTGAAAATAAATACAAAGTGTCTAAATGTCGTAGCCGCCGTTGGCCGCTCCCAAACAGGAACGAATAGGACGCTTCGACCTTGACCTTTTCATTGTGTTCCCTAGAATATCTAATTTAATTTCATTTAGTTTTAGAATTGATCTAATGACTTTTTAGTTCTTTTTGTGTGACGAACCTAGTCGTAATACACTTCTTGACCATTTTTACACCTTCACTTTTCGTACCAAATCTCAGCTTGAGATTTTTAGTTTTTTACAAGACCAGCGGATGGTGTTCATATAACATAGCGACTTATTGCCAAACTCAAGACAATCGGAGTGAGGTAGGTGAAGAAATGCAGGACTCTGGCCATTGTGGCCTGGGCGCTTGGACGGGCTCTGTATTAAGTGACAGTCCTCTTTTTTTGTGTGGCAACTGGA